ACATGAGCCGACAGTGTGCCCAGGCGGCCAAGAAGGCCAACGGCATCCTGGCCTGTATCAGAAATAGTGTGGCCAGCAGGAGCAGGGAAGTGATAGTGCCCCTGTACTCAGCACTGGTGCGGCCGCCCCTCGAATACTGTGTTCAGTTTTGGGCCCCTCACTACAAGAAGGATGTTGAGATGTTGGAACGTGTCCAGAGAAGGGCAACGAGGCTGGTGAGGGGTCTGGAGAACAAGCCTTATGAGGAGCGGCTGAGGGGGCTGGGGTTGTTTAGCCTGGAGAAAAGGAGGCTGAGGGGAGACCTCATTGCTCTCTACAACTACCTGAAAGGAGGTTGTAGCGAGGTGGGTGTCGGTCTCTTCTCCCAAGTAACTAGCGACAGAAGGAGAGGAAATGGCCTCAAGTTACACCAGGGGAGGTTTAGATTGGACATGAGAAAAAATTTCTTCACTGAAAGGGTTGTCAAGCATTGGAACAGGCTGCCCAGGGAAGTGTTTGAGCCACCATCCCTGGAGGTATTTAAAAGATGTGTAAATGTGGTGTTTAGGGACATGGTTTAGTGGTAGATTTGGCAGTGCTAGGTTAACGGTTGGACTTGATAATCTTAAAGGTCTTTTCCAACCTAAAGGATTCTATGATTCTATGATGCCCTGAAGCACTCGTCTGTGTTGGGACTTTGTGGTCCCGGTTCACACGTCCTGAGGGAGCATAGCTATTCCTCAAGAAATACAGCTTAAGAACGAGAGCAGTCTTGGACTTTAGTTCTTTAGTCATACTCTGCTTACGGAGATCATAGCACTATGGTTACATGCATTTGGCAGTGGTAAAGAACTAATTAGGTCAGCAACTCCGTTTTCTCAAGGCAACCAGTGCATCAGTGTTTAGGAAGTCCACTATGTAACACAGCATTTTGTCTTGTCTAATTTTAAGGACTCTGAAAGAGAAGTGGGTTGAGAAAGAAACAGGTAACTATGTGCAGTCCCCACCTAGCATTCAGCTGAGTTTAGATATTATGTAAGTCATACGGTGCGGGTCTGTAAGTGAGATCCCTCTTTTAGAGATGTGAGCCTCATCAGTCCTAAAATACATAGGAAATTGGAAGTTACTCATCCAAACCTTAAATGCAGTTTTCCATTCTTCTAAAATTAAAGCAGACCAACTAAGCAAAATATGTTAGGAATCACTAAACAGCTTGAAAAACCAGGTCGCTTTTGTTCTGCGAAGGCATTACTGCTAACACGCATACAGTGCCTGCATGGGGTGTTCAGTCTCTGCTGTTCTTTCTCTCCTGAAGCCGCTGTACAAGGCTGCTGTGCTACCAGTCACTGACCATCACACCAGAGCAGTATGCCTGCATTGCTGTGTGCTGCTGGCACATGAAGCACTTTGGGATCCTTTGGGATGAAAAACACCATACAAATGTGAGGTATTGTTAGTACAATCTTTTCTTCCACTTGCTAAAAGCCAGATATTTAGTCAGGAAATCCATCAGCACACAGCAGCTAAGAGCTCCACTGGGTCTAAATATTCCTCTTGTCTGTCTGCTCTGCAGAATTAGAGATGAGAGACATATGCAAGCACAGTGGGACAAGCCCACTCCCTCTTCCAACTGCATCTGCCTCTGTTTATTATTTTTGCTGCCAGTTCTGTTCCCAAGTGCTGTCTGCTAATCTAGTTACATAGCACTGCCCTATGGAAGTTCCCTTTGCAAATCAGCAGCAGTATCTTAAATAAAGAGATGAGCAGAAGAGTTCAGATAGTTCTGCATAAAACGTGTGAAAGCAAAGAAACCAAAAGTAGCAAGAAGGCTGCAACTGACCCTTCTGGGTCCTTGCCCAGTGTCACTCAAACAATGTACCAGATTGTTGCCATTGCTGGATGCGTTTAGGAATCTTCATTCTGCATGCTTTGCTGAGACTTTGCAAATTTAGAGCAGTTTTTAATTATTCTGTAATTTTTGTGTTCGAACTCTTCCTCCTCACGTATGCAGGGCATATCCATGGGGAGCCTCTGTCTATAGCAAATACAAGCATCGCTGTCATGGGAGACATGCCAAGTGAATAAAATGCAGTCTTGCTTCATCTTTCTTTTGTCGTCTCTGTTTATCAGAATCAGTGGCCCTGACAGACTTCAATAATTAAGTGTGTCAAGCACTGACTAGGACATACAGTGTACTAATGTAGTCAGAAAAAAGTCCCGACAGGACAATTTATAAACATAGCCACAGATAATAAAACTTCACAAGCTTAGAACTCAATTTGAGATTCATTCCTTCAAGGTATATAGATTGATTCTGAATCAGTGACAGCATAGGAGAATGCATGTTCCTGGCAAGAAAACTGTTTTAATTGGAAAGAATTGTTAAACATACAGAATATGCAAACTAAGAATATTTTGCACTTTCTGTGACAGAATGTTCATTCGGCTGCTATAATTTGGCCAGATTTCTTAAAAAAAAAACCAAAAACAAACCAGTAACATTAGAAATAATACTTCTAATTAGAAAGTCTACAATGCTAAAAGAATGCAATCACTCAGGTAATAGTGATACACTGGGGGCAGGTTGAATAATTTGATCCCTGTTGGTCAAATACTGGATTAAGTTATGGCAAAACTTGATGAATGAGGAAATATTGTGAAGACCATAACCTAATAGCTGCTGGGTATTGGAGGCTTAATTGGATGGTGACTTAGTGCCTATTTCAGTCATGCAAGCAGGATGACACCCTGGAGGACAAGCTCCTGGACGGATTAACACTTTCCCAAGATGTTTTCCAAAAGGCTGTATAAAAGAAAAATGTCCAGTCCAAGGATGGAGTTAAAGTAAAGATTTGAGAGGTTTCTGAACTAGAAGATTACAACAACAAAAAGTCTCTTGTAGAAAGAGACTGATGGTAAAGTTATCTGTGGGTAGTGTTGTTCAAGACAACATCTAGAAAAAATGCTATGCAAAGTGATATGACTGTAAAAGTTACACATTTCTAATTCATTTTAACAGTAAACTTGGAAAAGCTCAGCATTATTGTACATCCTTACATACAGGAGTTGGCAAATCCCCTGTATGGGTTAGAAAAGACAAGAAAGGAGCCTGGAAAGGACATGACAAAACTATCAAGCAGAATAGCAAGTGAAATTCATCCTAGGAAAATACAAACAGGTAGTAGGAGGTATTCACTGTACTCATGGATGAATGCTCAGAATTAGCAGCAATCTCTTGAGAAGTCCTAAGCTCAGTGCAGATGTTCATCCATGTCAGTGGAGCCATCCTCCCACCCCACAGCAATCAGAAGCTCTGGTAATGTGATTCTGTGTATCTGCACCAGATCTTACAATACAATTAGTAGATTTGGTCATCTTTCCTCAGAACAAACTGCAACAGGAACATGAGGATGCCAGGGCTCTTTTCTACTAAGAGCCTAAGAGTGGTAGCCAGAGAGAGACTGAGTATATAATTACAAACATTACAGAGAATTTAAATTAGGACTCCTGCTACATTCTTTAAGAATACAAAAGTAATAGGCAGCTCACATAATTAAAAGGCAAACAAAGACTGTTATACAATGGATCACTGGCCTTTGGAATTGGCTGCTATAGCATAACATTTGATTGAATGGCTGGATGAAAGTGAAAAGGACGTATAGGCACATACAAACATCAACAGCAACAGCCAACAGGTAATACTTTCAGAGACTGACCAGTGCTATAGCTCATGTTAAAGACCGCAGTTAACCTAGGAAATCAGTCAAACAATTCCCTTTGAAGGAGAGCTTCCCATTAATAAGTATATTAGAAGGGTCCTATAATTCCCCTTGCTCTTTCTTGCACTGAGCTCAGGAGTAAATCAAGGTTTTTGGATTCTAACAAGAAAGACCACACAGGGATGCCTGACATTATCCATACTCCACATTGCTCTTATAGTAAGTGAAAAAGCAATTCACAGTGTGATGAGATTATCCAGTCATCACGCTAGATTCTAGATTCTCACTTGCATTTTATTACCATTTCAATGCCTTGTTTTAACTTCACACATAATTAATCCCCTCAGTTAGAGGAGCAGAGGGAGGAGGAGGGATGGTTTTCACAAGAAACCAGCTGTTGACAGGGAACTACCCTGCAGGAACCGTAAGATATCGTGAATAGAGTTAGAGAAATAGCTGCTATAGGAGATCCCAGCAGGAGTCATCTCCTCTTTACGACGTTGCATGCTACCTGGTAAAGTCCAGTCTTCTCTCCTCAGGAGATTATTTCTCTTGTGATCTAGCTTGACAGCTAAGCAGCATTTCCAGTCCTCATCCCCTATTTTTGCCATCAGCAGCTTTCTCTTTGGCAATGTGGCAGCTGTCTCCTGCCCCGGTAATTCTGTGGGTCACCCAGCCCATCTCTGTTTTTCCCTCGCTCCTCCTCCCATTAACATGTTGTTACACCCTGAACACAGTAAGCAGATAAATAGGCAGCATAAATCACATGCTGAGTAGCCTAACAGAGAAGTTGCATTCCCACCCTCTGCATTTAAAGAAAAATCACAGAGTAAATTAGAGACTGTGTCTTACTTGCTGGACTGGCTGAAGCACACTGGGCTTAGTATTTTCTGTGTCCTCCTCTTGGTCCTTTTCTGAGAGTCCTTTCCCAGGTTGCTTGCATTTGCAGAAGCAGGTGAGACCGCAGAGGGCAAGGATGCTAGTTGCAGTCCCTAAGGTAGCCCCCAGGGCTATAACTGGGGCAGATAAAACCATTGTCCTGCGCTGCACAGGAATAAAAAGCACAGAAACCCTGTGACTTCTCCTCCCTGGGAGAGCAGCTCTCGCACATCCACTCCAATTTCTAGCCTGGCTTCATTCTCCTTGGAAGTCTGAAAACAATTCTCTTGTGCAGCAAAAGGACGAATCTAGAGACAGAGATAAATCATCCCACCTTTGCTAGGCAACAAGGCTACCTTTCTATCCTGATGATGGAGTTTCTGCTCCAGGTCAGGCAGAAGAAATAGTGATTGTGGTGCCTGCAGTCTCCATATAGCTGCAAACAGGCAGTTTTCATTGAAGCCTGTTCTCCAGCTCCACTGGGAAAAGTCTGATGTGTGATAGAGAGGAAAGACGTCAGCAGAAGGGGCTGGGCCTTGCTAGCTAACTCACAGAAAGTGCATCCAAATGTTTGATCAGCTTTCTAGCAATATTTCTGAGTGCTAGCTTGCTAATTTGCTCAAGAGGTTGAATTTTTCTGTCTTAAGGCAAAGATAGCGATTGCCAAAAGGTGCTGGCCTGAGAAGCCCTGTTATGATAGCATTGCACGATAGCACTATAGTCAGAGTAAAGCCTGCGTCTAAGTCAGGCGAAACTTTCTTATTCTTCAGAGGCTGGGGAACAAACACATGCAAGAATTAAGCACCGTCCCACACCTCACCAGCTTCCCGTCAAAGCGCAGGGTCTGAACCTTTTGGAGCTGCTTTCTGTAGCATCAATGCAGAGCAGCACTTCTGTTTAAAAAGACAGCAGAAAATCCTATCAAACAAGACACACTGGCGCATATGCTGCTTCCTCTGGAGAGGATGAGAGAGCAAACAACATATGCTAGGTATTAGTCATACTGCTTACTACACCGGTGTCAGGTGGTGAGCTGGTGAGCACAGTAAGAAGAACCTATATGAATAGACCTGAAGGGCTACATGTCCGTCTCAGTTTTCTCTTGAGGTGGTGGAGTGATTAACTTTTTCGGACTCATTTATTTTTGCCTTATTTCTTAGACTGCCCAGCTTGGGGAAGAGGAGAATAAATGCCATCTTTCGATGTGTTTCTTGTGACATGTACAACCATTTTCTGGGTACTTCACAAGGAGTACCTAGTGGCCAGAAGATGATTATAATTCTGGGTCACTATATATCTGGGCCAGAGTGGAACTAGTAAGCAAGAAGCAAAATATTCCTTAAAAGGCTCTGGAAAAAATACCCAGTTCTACTGGGAGTTTCTTTGTCTTTCTATTTTGGAATACAGTTGATGCCTGTGGATCAGGAAAAAAATGAACTATGTACACAGAAATGTTTAGAAATTCAGTTTTTTTGATCTTTCTGCAGCTCAGGTTTTGCCATGGATTTTTCTTGACTTTTTTTTGATGTTTCACGTCTTACTCATCATGACTCACTGAGCCTTTGTTCCATTATAGATGACATGTTCACCTCCCTGGCACAAAGCTTCCCTCACACGTCTGACTCGCTTTAATTGTTAAAGATTCCTCTTTAACACTGCAGCATCCTTATGGATGCAGTGCACATGCCATCATCTTGCCTTCTCCTCACCCTACCAGGCTTGTCAGACATGCATCTCGCCCCCCACTTCCAACCCTCCCAACCCCCCATCAAGAAGAGAATCACGATAGACTCCTTAAGCAGAGACAATCCCCCAATACACTGCTGAGCCCATGGAAGCTGGCCTTTCAGCTCAGGCCACAGAAGGAAAACCTTGAGCTTTGTCTTCTGTCTATACAAGAACACAAAAGTGGCCACACAAGGCTGGACCACTGGCTGTGCTCTGTAGTGCGAAGACCATCACATAGAGGGGATTGAGAAATCTGACTAAAAACTCCCTTTGCTTCTTGCTCTTTGTGGCTCAGGAGCTTCCAAAGCCTTGAGCAGCATCCTTGTGCTTACCTCTGCTGATCTGAACTTTGTCTGCCACAGGTAGCCTGCTGCAACCGTTTGCTGACTTACCTAACAACTACTTCATTCAGCCCGTATTTGAGCAGGTAACATCGTAATCATAGGGCCACAAGGTTTTATCTTGAATTTGAAGAACGTACCATATTGTTATGGACTTCCACCACCACTCAAGGGTAGAAGAGAGGAGAGTCTGAAAGAGGACAAAAAGGATGGACACACTGTTTAGATGCCTTTGGTTTCCTCCACAGGATGGGTTCTTCCTCAAGCTGTTAATGAAATCTAACACAGCTAAACCAGAGGCCCCTGAGATTTGGAAACCATATGAAACGGAAGAAGGTGCTGTTAAGGGTAGAATTCATTGATTGAGATTTGGAGTGGAGAAGGCATTCAGTACATCCATGAGATGCAATCTTCATGTGTTTTCTGCAAGCTGTTCTGAGAATTATATAAAGACTGCTTACAACAGGCTGTGGAAGGAAGGCCGCATCAAAATCTCTCTGCAAGACAATAATTTAATAGTATACCTCTCCAAGATGTTTTCTAGCTGCTCATATACGAAGATTAAGTTTTCCTTACCAGAAATTGTATATGCTGTGAAATGGAAGATGTACAGAATCATCATCAGATATCATATTTTAATAATAATAGCCAGGCAGCAGCCTTTTGCTACTATTGCTAGGAAAACAAAAGAGCTCTTGCTAAACATTGAATATTAGCAGTATGTGAGCTTCTACAAGCAACAGGCCAAAGACTGCGGAATTCTGTGTGTGCACTGATGCATGTAACTAGTACAGATACATAATTTAACTGTAGCTTTGGCACATACCGTCACTGCATCTATCTATCATGGTTGCTTATTTTTAACACATCCTGTTCTAAGAAAAATTGGACCATAAATGTATTTCAAAGTCAGCTTTACACTTGCTTGTTTTAACACCCAATAATAAAATTTCTTCTTTTTCTTTAAAGCAGTAGTAGGCTAAAATGGGGCCAGGCTAATGACCTTTCTCACTGGCCATTCACACTGATATTGTCCAGAAACACATAGCTTTTTTATCTGTCACATCTGCCGTTGGAAAGAGACTTGCCAAGGCAGAAAGATTAAAGCCCATTTTTGCAAGCTAAACTTTATGGGCAGTTTCAGGCCTGACAACGTGTTTTACAGTCACTCTATCCACATATTTTCTCCAGATTCTGATACAAGGCATGTATAAGAATGACAAAAGCATATACATGGTTTTCAGCTCCTGATACTTCAGACATGAATATTCTGTGATGACAAAATATAAGGCACTGGACAACTTCGGTGCTTATAGATTCTTTGTTCCTGCTATGAGCTTTTCCGCCCATATTTTGGGCCTTTCTGTCCATTGGCTGTATGAAAGAGGCTTTCTCTGAATGAAGAATTGGTAGTACAGATTACATGGAGAATTATAAGAGCTTTTGTATTGCCTGGCTGTAGTTCATGCCTTACCAGAAAAAAGCCCTTTAATGCAATTGCCAACTACTCGAATAAGCAGGTCAGGGATTTGCAACTTTTATGCTGGCATGAGAAGACACAAATTAAAGTTCCAGAATCCCTCACTATCACAAGGAAAAGCCAACATACATCTGAATGAAAGATGGTTGCAGACTACTTTCCCTGACTCAGCCCACTCCGTCAGGGGCTGGTATTTGTCAGAGATGCTCTGATTCTCACTGAGGCATTTCACCAGGCAGAAGTGCGAGTTAACAGACGGAAATGGGAAAGAGAGTTTTTTTGCAGGGAAATCCTTGTGACAGTCAGATTTAGCCTGAAGGTGTAAGCTCATGTTTTCACTTGTATTGACTTGTTATGAGATTCTGAGATACTGTGCTACAGAAGGGGGACAGTTTGAACAGGATGATGGTCTAAAATAGCTTGCTAGATCATAGCAAGGTGTTTACACCACCCAACTTTGGGCACTGAAATAGCCAGTTAATGACAGAAGAGCACATATGGCTGTCATGCATTTCTTCAACAAGAAAATGAAGCATGGTGAAAACAAAAATGAAGGTAAAAGGCTTGTGCTTACAATGACTACATCTATCTCCTTATGCTTTTGTATGCTGTTGCCTCCAGTTGTAAATGCTTTAAGAAAGGGATTTTATCTTCCTCCAAGTGGTGAAGTATTCCTCCACCAGATGGTGAAGTATTACAGACCGCTGAAATAATCTTTTGTGGTGCTATTAAGACAAAGCAGTTGTCTCTATATATTTATATGCAAAAAAAAAAAAAAAAAAGAAGGAGGATTTGTAGCAGGAATGTGGGCTTGGCCACTCCATCACTGTCACTGAAACAGACCTATAGATATAAATCAAGTAAATGAAGTCATTAAGAGAAGAACTAAGAATCATTTTCTAAAAGAGAGATACACAATGATCAACCTCAAGAAAATGAGCTTCAAGCTGTGGTGCTTCAAGCTGTGGTTCTTCAGCTGGTATTAATGGATCTAGAGCTCTTGAAACCTCCAGACTTACAGGAGTACCTGCCAGCTGCCTGTGTAGCCTTTGCCACTCTGCTACCCTCAGGATGATGATAAGGATTTAGCACGCAAAAGGGTACAGCTAGTTGCATGCGTGCAGTGTAGGGCTTATGGTAAATGATTCTGTACTAGGACACTACACTGTCCTGAGATCAAGATCTGTGGGATTCAGGAGATCTATGGAAAAAATCGGCTGTGTACCTATTTCAGGAGGCTGCCATGTACCCCCGATCACCAGCAACCACTGCAAACCTGCCTGTGGCACAGCTCTTGCATCTCTTGCGGCAACATTGGATGAATACTCCCAGAAGGTGGGAGGCTCAACACTAGGAAGCAGGGAGAAGGACCAAAAAAGCAAAAGTGGTCAGGAAGGGTAGCGTGATCCACAGGAGGGTAAGAGGAAAAACACTAGGCAGGAATAGGAAGGGTCTGTAATGTGAATTGGGCATTGGTGTGGCTGCTGTAGAACAATGCTGCACCCCGCTCTGCTGGGCAGAGCACCAACTTGCTGGGCAAATTAGAGGGAGTTCAGGAAAGAGCCACATGAATGAATAAAGGGCTGGAAGGCAGTGGATCAGAGTGT